GATACAGGTGATAGATAGATGATAGAGATATAGAGGTAGATATAAATATAGATATAAAAATAAATAAATGCCACATATACCCCACCCAAAATTACAACGGCGCTGAAAAAAGTGACTTATGACCGTTTTCCACACTTTTGACCATTGCAGCCTCCCCGTGGTCAGGTGATCAAAATTAAAACCTTTGGTAACTGACTCTTATTTATGACGGTCGCAATGTTCCAGGGTCACGCCATCTCCTTTTGCAACCTTCCGGTTATAAAGATAACAAATATAAGAGGAAATGATTTATGACTTACAAAGAAAATGTGATTATGGCTATATTGGTTAAAAATATTAATTATGATTGTTAGCACAAGATATATGTCGATAAATCCTTTCCTCTTGTGCTAACAATCATAATTAATATATAAACCAATATAGCAGTAATTACATTTTTTTTTGTAAGTCACAAATTGACACACTGTATGAATGAAAGATGGAATTATTGTAACTATTAAAAAAAATAAAAATTTGGGGGGGGGGAAGAAAGAAAGAAATAGGGGCTTTTCTCCCCTAACCTGGGGGAAAAAATAATGGGGGGGGGAAAGTGATCCAGTTTGAAGAGAGGATCAGGGCAGGAAACGTTTGAAGAGGAAGAAGAGGGATGAGAGAACGGATGAGTGGGAAATTCAGTTTAGAAGCTGCAGGTGGTTTTAATCATCGGTGAATGCAGGCATTGACAGAAAGGTAGCTGGGTGTGGTGAGCTGATTAATACTCCAAATTCTTTGCCTGTTGTTGAGTTTGAACTTCACATAGCAACGTGAAACTTTAAATAGACATTTCTCTTTATTGGAGTGAATGCACGTGCCTTGGTTGGTCACACCCGCCCCTCACAAAATCAACACAACCCCCGGAGAATGCGTTTCACAGGTTCAAAGCCAGCAAGTGGGGTGCCCGGCAAACGACAAATGGTGGGGCAGCCTGTTGCAGGCCCTTAAAGCAAAAGGTGGCTTGATCAACAATGGCAACTGGACTTTCTGGGTTTCTTTTGAAGACGTCTCGCTTCTCATCCAAGAAGCTTCTTCGGCTCCGACTGGATGGTGGGGGAATGGAAGGATTGATATTCCTTGCAGGCAGCTGGTCGTTTGCATCCTTTTAGAGGGTCGTTGAGGCCACTTGGAGGTTTAACTGTGTCCTCAGGGTCATCTGAGTGGTGCTCCTGCAATTTTTTTCCCCTCTGGAAATCCATTCCACACCATTCCAAGGGTGTTCATCCCAAATTGTGTAGCTAAAAATCTGTAGTAGTCAAGGGGGACTTCAGTTTCGTGCTGGCTGGGGAATTCTGGGAGTTGGAAGTCCCCATGCTTAAAGGGCCCAAGATCGAGATATACTGCCATGGTTGATAAAAATAGGGGTGGGTGGGCAGCTGAAGGGGTGGTAAGGCAGGAACCCCTAACTCAGCCAGAACACAGATTGGAAATGGGTGCCAGAGGCACACTGGCCAGGGGGCAGTTTTAACCCGATTCCTTTCATTGTGCACGATGCAACATCAGCTAATGATGGTGCAAAGGGCACCTCAATAGGTGGGCATTGAAACAGGTGCCAAAGGATTCCTCTCCCAGTTTGCAAAGTCAGCCCATGCTGGCTTGGGCATCAGATCATGATGATGCCGAGGGCAGCTCAGCTGCCGGCATGAACTGGGGCCAGGAGCTCGTGCCCGAGCCTGGTTGGTAGCCCAGGGACAGCCCGAGGCTGGGCGCATCCTGCCAGGCGTGTCACGGGCTCCCAGCCCTGCAGAGGAACAACAAGACAGCTGGAATTTCCTCTCAGGTCACCTGGGCAAAAAAAGTCTCGGGACCTGGGCCGGGGGCGGGGTTTGCAGCGGGACCCCGCCCCCTTCAGAGGGCTTAAGCCAATGGGGTGGGAAGCTGGGCGGGGCGAAGGCTTTTAGGCGGGCGGAGTTCCTTTCGTGGGCTCAGATCGCGCTGGTGGGTTTGCGCGCACCTGTCTGGATGTGCCTCGCGGTTGCGCTCCGGGGCGCTTGGGTACCTGCGGCCGTCTCACCTGCGTGCCGGGTCGGATTTGAGTCAGGGGGAGGTCGGCACGACGCAGCCATGTCCCTGCCCAAAGGTAAGGGGGCAATGTGAAAGGATGGATAGATAGATAGATAGATAGATAGATAGATAGATAGATAGATAGAT